CCATGTCACAGGGGAGAAGGCAGAATGAATGGGTCCTCATGCCAGGAGGCTGGCAGATTTGGTTGGGAGGGAGATAAGCTAGTGCTCGCCTGCTGCTTCTGTTTCCCAGAGGCACATAATGCCTGGCTATCAGCTGAAATGAAAGATTAGGGCTGAAAGTATGGGGGAAGAGAAGGCAAGATAGAGCCATCTTGGAGAATAGGGTAAAAGTGTTAGAAAAATACAGAATTTCTCAGAAGTGCTGAGTGCCCACTTGAGCTTTATGGTCAGAAGTTTCCATTGAAGCCAGTCAGTCCAGTTGTATTCTTCTCCAGGTGCTTTGGAACAGGTGCCACATGGAGAGGTGGGCTTACCGGGAGTTAGAGTCTTGCCTTGTGAGCAACCATAGAAGCCCCGGAAGGCAGGTGAGTGGAGGATATCTATGGGTCCGCAATTACATGGGGTCTCATGGAGTTCAAGCTGGGAAAGGAGGAGAGGATGTGATAGAGGTGATGGATAGTGAAATAGTGGTGGGTCCATAGGTGGGGCAGGATTGCCGGGGTGGGAACTGAAGTGAGTGAGCTGGAAAGAAGATGCTATAGTTCTCTGTCCAGACAAGATCTGGGGTGTGAGCACGCATGTGGATGGGTTCAATGGGTAAAGAAAAAGATTGTTAGAAGCAAGGAAGTCAAGGAACTGAGAGGTCAAGTTTGGATGTGAAGTAATCACAAACGATAATAAGCATAATAACAGACAGTGAGCCAAGGGCTGAGATTGTCCATGAATGAGAGATCCAGGATATCTTATTTGTATCTCAGACTCAACCCTGTCTGAAACTGAGGTTACAGTATCTCCCTCAAGCCTGCTCCTCCCCTGGGCAAATGTGCCACCACCCAGAGCGAGAAACTTGGGTGTCACTTTGATTCTTCTCTCTAACTGATCCCCACACCCAATCAAATCACCAACTCTTTTAGATTCTATCTTGGAAACATTTCTTAAATCCAGCTACTTCTTTCTGTCCCTACGGCGCACACCCTAGTTTAGGCCATGGCTGTTTCTCATTTGGACAATTAGTGTCAGGTTCCAAACAGGTAGCCCTGCTCTGGCTCCTCTGCCTTGCAACCAGAGACAAATTGTAGTAGATCATGTCACTTCTGTGCTAAGTCTCTCCAGTGACTTTTCATTGTCCCTAGGATAAAGCCCAAAATCATTAAAACAGGGCTTTACAAAGAAAGCACTGCGTAACCTTGCCCCTGCCTACTTCAGTCTGACCCCTCACCTGATTTGTTCTTGCTTTCTAGGCCTTTCATATGATATCCCTTTTGCCTAGAACCCCCTCCCCACTTTGCTTGGCAAAAGTCCTCCTCTTTCTCTAGGTGTCAGCTTAAGAGGTCTCAGGGAATCTTTTCCCAGATGCCTGGGTGTTGGATCCACCTTGCTCCCTGCCCCAGCACCCCACGCTTCCCCAGAATGTCAAAGTTTAGCAGCTTTCCTCTTCATAGAAGGTAACCATGAAGTCAGGGACTATGTCTAATTCTTCCCAGTCGAATCCTTAACACCTAGCATGGGGCTTATCACATACAAGTGAACAATAAATTCACTTATTTTGTGAACGGCCAGCTCACTCACCGGGTGCTCCTGACTTGTCAGCCAGGAGCTCACCGAAAGGGTACCTGAGAGGATTGGGTGGGAGATGAGAAACAAGAGAACAGAGACAAAAGCTGGGAGCAGGAGGGCCTCAGCCTGCTGGTAACAGACTAAGACATCGTTTATTGGAAAGGCTCTGGTTATAATGCAGTAAGTTCTTCTTTGTGTAGGGGAGTCTAGCAGGGGGCTTCAGCAGGGGGCTTTGGGTGTAGGCATACAGAAACCAGGAACTAGGGCCGGGGATGAAAACTGGAACAAGTCCATGGTGGAAAGTCCTGGAGCGTTGTTTCTCTTTTGGGGGGTGTCTGAGCCTTGCGTATGCAGTTACTAAGCAGACTCTCTTATCCAGCCGCTCCCCTAGGCATAGGGTCCTGCATAGAGGCATGTAGCAGTTTGCCACAGCCTCAGTATCCCCAACTGTCCTCAACTGGCTCCCAGCAATAAATATTTGTTAACTTGAATCAAATGGAAGACTCTGGAGATGGAGCAGTTCTGGGTGAAGACAAATTCCGGAGTGTGGTCCTGGGGGCGGGTAGCTAAAAGGAGCGGGGGAGGAGGGCGTGGAATGAAAAGGACAGAGTGATACACAGGTGGTCCCCATGGCCCTGGGCTGTGACAGAATACCAGAGCACCCTGAGTCATGTGCTTAAGTCTTTAATGAATGAGGAGAAGTAGGTGGCAGCAATGCGGGTGGGGCAGAGAGTGGAAGAGAAAGATTGGCAGGGGCCGAAGCAAAACAAAGAGTTTTCAAGAAGATGGAGGTGGAAAGGTCTGAAAATGGTAACTAGGGCAGCGTGGGGGTCGTGAGAGTGTGGGCAGGACTGAGGGTGAGTGGGATGACGGAAGTGTTTCCTAGATGGTTATTCAGCCTCCTCTGGGGGCCCTCAGGTTGGTCAAACAGTGTTTGGTTTGTCTGGCTCAATGGCTCAGGACTGGAGACCTCTGCATACAGCACCCATGAAGAGGACTGCCATGGGGGTGGTCAGGTCCTACGATGCTCTCACCATATTTCGGCCCAGCAACAGCCCCTGGAATGGGGAATCTAGAATCTCAGAGGAAGCTGACTATGGCTCGCCCACTGGCCTGCATGTGGGCGCTACCTAGGTCTGAGCAGTGTGGAGCCATCTGATTCTGAACTGGTGGAAAGTGCCATCCTGTTCTCCAGGATTGGGTGGTCACAGCTCTGGTCTGGATTGGAGGTAGAGTTGTCCTTGATTCCTGGAATTCAGTAGATAGTATTGGTGCCCTACCCATGTCCCCTTTACTGAGGGACACTCATTCTCCAGCTGTGAATGTCGATCACTCATGGCTTACAGCTGCCCCTGGAGAATTGATCTGGACTGAGTGGGAGCCACCAACACCTCTCTTACTACCAGCCCTCCTGTCCTCGAGGTGGCCTGAAACCACTGACTGACTGATACAGGAGTTCCAGGGCCTGGTGCCCTTGCCTCCAGCAGGGACAGCTCTGTGGCGGGGTTTATGATCCAAAGGCCCTCACCCCACAGGGCTCAGGCCAATGCTCAGGTTCCCTGAGCCCACACTCTGCTCAGCTTTGCCCATTCCCTATCTTGTTTCTTGCTCTGTCCTTCACATGCACACAAATTCCTGCTGCTGGCTCTGTTTCTAGGGAACCTGGCCTAAGACGGGGTGACTCTCTGATCTTGCCCCATAATCAGTAGTGGACATGGAGGCTCTCCATGGACTACAAGGGCCACAGTCCCCACAGACTCAGCCCATCTGTGTGGGCTTAGAAGGCCCCTCCCCTCCCTAGGCCAAAGTTGCCTCACCTACAAATAACACCTTTAGGCTAGACTTAGTTAAAACAACAACAACAAAACATACAAACAAATAAAAGGAAAACACTTCGCTGAACTCCCTGGGCTTAGGTGTGGTGGTGGATTCAGCTCACAGCGCATTTACTCAGTTAACAAACATTAGTTGAAGGCAGCCAGGCCTGGATGACTCAGCGTCTGCCTTTGGAAGGGCTCATAGGCTGATGGGGAGGGCCCACTGCTCCAATTTAGGGAGAATAACAAAGGCAGGAGCTAGGTCGTCCCTGGGATTCTAGGGAGGGTCCCAGGGGAGGGAGGAAGAGCATTCCAGGCAGAGGGAACAGCATGTCTGAAGGCACCAGGCGCGACCCAGCGTGATGTGTCTGGATGGGGAACCAGGAGCCTTTTGGCATTATTGGTGGGTACCAGGAGGGAGGAAGCAGGGGGTGAGGCTGGGGAGGTCAGCGGGGACCAGGTTTAGGGCAATGTGGGGTGTGGTGGTGCAAGAATTTTTAATGCAGAAGGACCAACATGGTCAGATTCATATATATACAACAAAACCACTCTGTCCTCATAGTGGAGGGCAGGTGGGAGGGGCCCAGTGAGAGGTTAAGACTCTGGGGTGGGAGGGGAGGGGCAGACTCAGGAGGCCTTTAAGGGGCTGGAATTAGTGGATTTGGCGCTGTATTGGGATGTGAGGTGTGAGGGGCTGGGAAATGGGGAGGGGATGAGGATGTGAGGCCAGCTCCTGGCTTGGACAACTGGGTGGATGGCAGTGCCATTCATCGGGTGGGGAGTGATCTGTGAGGAAGGCAGGTTTGGGATTGCTGAGTGGGAGAGTGGGAGATGCCTGGGACCTCCTGGAGGGTTGTCCTGTGGGCAGTTGGTGGGGGCTCTGGAATTCAGGCAGGTCCAGGCTGGAGGTGGGGTTTCGGGAGTTGCAAAGGTCTGAGTGGTGGAGTGGGGGTAGGGGAGGATGAGGGAGTGTGTATCCAGTAAAGAGAAGGGAAATTCCTTGGACTTGAGGACCTATGAGGGACCCTTTGGCTCAGATGCTTTCAGTGGGTCCCTGGCCTGTGGGGATATGCCTCCTAGACACCCTGGCAGACCCTCATCCTGGACTTGCTCTCAGTCCGCCTCACCCCCACTATGCCTTCCCCTCCCATCCTCAGAGGAGACTCACCCATCCGAGGCCTATGCTGGGCAGGGTTAGGGAGGCCTGAGTGGGGGAGGCAGAGGCCTCCTGAGCCATACATTCATCTGAGGGACACTCACTGAGAGCTGACTTATCCTGAGCACAGGGTCTCCTGGGGGCCCTCTCCTGCCTTGGCCAGCTGGTTGCCGAGTCCAGAGACCCCTGGAGCAGCCTCTGCCTTTGAGTATTCTCTGCCACATCCTAGGGACACGCTCTGGCACACTCTGTGTATTTGAGTGTGTGTGTGGTGTGCGTGATGAGTGAACCCGGAGCTGAGGTTCTGGGGCTCAGGTGCCCACTGAGTGGTCTTGGCCTCCTCTCTGAGGTCCACCATGAACCCCCGGCTTTCCCACTCATCACTCCCCACTTGGTCTGCAAGGTACTGAGAAAATCATATTTATTAAGGGTTTTCACCTTAATATTATAAAACATAATTACCATACATAAACCCCCCACCAGCCATTAACCTCCCTCTCCTGAGGCTCAGGACCCAGAGATAGAACTGCCCCCAGTACTGGCGCCTGGGCAGGCTTTGTGAGTCCCACAAGCACCTTCCTCGCATGCCCTGCTGCAGAATAGATGCCACCGCACTGCCATTGCCTTAGGGAGGTGGGGGACCTGGTGGTCCCAGCTGCCAACGTCACAGGTCATGGATACCCACCTGTGTCCTCCGCAGCCGAGCTCGCCTTCATTAGCACAGAGTTCCCATTTTGAGGGTGCTCTCCCTTGGAGAGGGCATAGGGTGGGCACGTCTCAGGCAGGCAACCCTGGTGCTGAGACCGCCGGCGCCTGGGGCCCAGGATCTCCAGGCACCTCTTGCCCACCAGGTAGGCGACCTCACTGAGGTTGAGCAGGATGCATACCACAGCTATGGCCACCATGAAGTAGGTGAAGATCGTCTTCTCCGTGGGTCGGGAGATGAAGCAGTCCACAGTGTGGGGGCAAGGCGACTGGGAGCAGGCCACCACGCGGGGCATGTCGTAGTGACCCTCGTAGAGGCGGTGGAAGACGTAGAGGAAGCCGGAGTCCACGGAGGCCTTGAAGACCAGGCTCAGCAAGTACGTCCACCAGAGCCCGCCCCGCTTCTTGCTTGGGTTGTCGTACAGGGACTCGGCGTTGGGCCCGTGCTTGAGGCGGTGCCTGCGCTCCCGCTCCTCGCGGTAGGCCACGTGCATGACCACGAGCAGCGAGGGGCACGTGACCAGGATGAGCTGCAGGGCCCAGAGGCGCACGTGGGACACGGGGAAGAACTCGTCATAGCAGACGTTGGTGCAGCCCGGCTGGCGGGTGTTGCAGACGAAGTCCTTCTGCTCGTCGTCCCACACGTCCTCCGCGGCCACCACGTACACCAGCACGCGGAAGATGAAGACCACCGACAGCCAGATGCGGCCCAGGGCCGTGGAGTACTTGTTGACCCCGCTCAGGAGGCCCTGAAGGAACGACCAGTTCATGCTGACGCTTCCTCGCGTGGGCGGCCTACACCTGTGTGCACCCACGCAGGCGCGGCCGGGCCTGGAAATGGGTGTCCTTTATTAAAGGTGCGATTGGCAAAGCCGTGTCACTACCACTGTGTCATCATCCCGTCCTCACTCGAAATGACTTGGCGGGGTACAGATCCCCATTTTCCCCATTGCACAGGGGAGTAAGCTAAGGCCCAGAGAGGCACCTGCCCAAGGCTCCACTGCTGGAAGTAGCCGAGCTGGTCTCGAACGTCTGTCTTCCAGTTCCAAAATCTGGGACTATTGTATTCTATAAAGTAACAGACACATGTGAAAGAGAAGGGCCCTGCGTGGGTGTGCCTGTCAACCTCTTGGACACCCCAAGCTTCAGCAGCCCTGTGGGTCACCTGACTTCTAAAGAGAGAGCAGGAAGGTATGGACTGGATGGTCCTCTCCCCCATCAGCTGCCAGGGCTGGACCAGGGTAGGAGGGGAGGGAGGTGTGTCTTTATCCTCCGGTTTCCTTCAGCTGTTACCAAGCGCCAACATGAGTCAGGCCCTGACCTGGGTGGGCGCTTTCACATCAGCCTCTTGGGCAGACTCCCAAGTGATACCCACCCTCATTCCTCTTCTCTGGCTCCTGGACATCCCTGCCCCGACTTTCCCTCCCAAACTTTGGAACCATGGTGTCTTGGCATCATCCTGCCTCCCGCCCCCTACCCCACCATGGGTGTTGGGCCCAGGACTGACTGTCCTGACCACAGTTGTTTCCTCTGGAATTCCAACCATTCCAGCTTTAGGGAGGGACTAGGGAAGGGACAGAGGCAGGATTCTGGCATGGTCCTCCCCCCACCATTTACTTTTTCTTTCAGGAACACCCCCTTTTCCATTTGCCCAGCGGCTGTTTGCTAGCCAAATCTCCCATTATTTCTATTCAGACCCCTGTCCGGTGTGCTCCATCCTCTACAGCCTCTTATCTGGAGTGCCATCATGTTCCATCTCTGACCTGGCCCCTCCTCTGTCCCTGACTCAGAGCTCAGCATCTTCAGACCTCATGCTCCTGGGACATTTTCTGAGCACCTCCCTCCATCTTTCATGCACCACCAGTACTCGAACGGTGTGTTTACCTGTCTTCTATGCCAGACTGCCAGCTACTGGATGGCAGCCTCTGTGTCTTATTATCTGTTTCCCCAGGACTCAGCACGGGGCCTGGCCCAGTGAACACACAATATGTTTGCGAAACCAAATCGATACCCCACTTCTTCCTGACCCCTCCTCTTCTCATCTCTTCTCTGGTCCTCTGCCCTTCCTTTGGTCTGGCAGGACATTCCTTCCCCTTCTTGGGGCGTCCCTGGGGTTTCTCCAGGGATCCTCAGTTCCCTCTGCTTCTCCCTGAAGCCTTGCCCACAGCCTGAGGTCCCCTGAGGTCCCCTGAGGATCCGTAGCCCTGCGAGTCCCTGCTTCCCAGTCCGGCTTCTTGCCCAATGTGGTCCTCACCTGTCTTGGGTCCAGCAGGTGCTCTCTGGTACCTGGGCTTGTCTGTCTGCCTGAGGGCCTCCCAAAGGCAGCTTTTGTTCCTTACTCCCCTGCTGGGTGGGGCTTTCTGAACCAATGAGCCAAACGAGAGTGAGCAGGTGGGCAGGCAGGCGGGTGGACTTCCCCTGGCACATATTCGGAGCAAACACCTGCGGCTCTTCTCTCCTGGCCCACGCCTTCTCTCTAGCCTGGCTGGGCACGGCTGGGTCTGGCTCCCTGGGCTGGCAGGTATGTGGGTGAGACTGCAGTTGGCAGGGGGGGGCGGGGGTCAGGAGCCTGATAGCCTCATTCCCCAGGTCCAGTTCAGCAACAATGGTATTGCCTCCTGTCCCCCGTCTCTCTCCTACTCTTTTCTCTGGAAGACTGATTCTGATGTCCTCAACAGCTGACGTCTATGGAAAGGGGCAACCTTGGTTCAGCCCAGGATCGTATCCCACCCTGATAGAAACATTTCTGAGGACTAGAGCTTGGGCTGTGGGTGAGCTGTGTAGGGGATGGGAGAGGCTGGCTGTGGTTCTTCTAGACAAGGGTACCCCACTGCCTTGGTGGAGACAAGGAATGCAGGTTGGCAGCATTAAACGCCTCAGTTGGCAGAGGGCCAGGCCTCCAGAGAAGTCAGAGTGTGACTCAGTGGGGACTGCAGGGGCACCTTGGGACAGTGAAGGTTAATGTGCAGCCAGGGAGGGGCTCCTGCCTCATTTGCCACAGCATTTATTGAGTACTTCCTAATACCAATGATTCACATTTATGTGGCCCTATACAGCTGGCTAACCCCATCCACAAGCCGTGCACTCATCCAGTGCTCTCAGCAACCGCACAGGCTCAGTACTATTAACCCATTTTGGAGAGGAGCTGAAGTCACTTTCCCAGAGTCCCAGTGGCACTTGGGTTCAAATGCAAGTGTTCTGACTTCAAGTCCATTGACTTTCCATTGCTACATGCAGCTCCCCGCATACTAAGCTCCATTCTCTTTGCAGACAACCCATAGGCCTAAAATTGCAACTGAGGATAAAGGCTAAAGTTGAGCACGAGCAGGGTCCCCAGGAGTGCTAGGGACCCTTTCTAGGGGAGAGGATAGCCCCTCACTTGACTGGACCAAGTAACTCTCTGCAGGGGCAGAGAGGTTGATCTAGTGACCTGATGAGGGTCATGGGTCACAAAAGCTGAAGGATCAAAGGGCACCTTGAATCAATAGAGGAGTTGACTTTTTATTCCCTGACCGCGGACCCCACACATTGAAGGCACTTGCACATCCATTCTCTAATTAAACACCACCTCACAGCAACAACCCTATGAGATAGGCCTCATCATCTCCATTTTACACACAAAGAAACTGAGGTGCCCAAGGCCATACAACTGGGGCAGGTGGCTGGAGCCGAGGGCTAGGGATTTGTTCCTGGGCCGTCCGACCCTCAGCTTCCCACCCCTAAGGCCGCACCCATGAGAGACACCGGGCACTTCCAACCCAGGCCTCCCCGCATTGGTCCAGTGCAGGCAGTCCCTCACAGGATGGTTTTCTTCATGTGGTCTCGAGGGCAGTCTGGTAAGAGGGGAGGGTGAATGTCTGAGCCCAGATAGATGAGGTCACCTGAGAGGAGGTCGTCCTGTTTGTAGGAAGAGGCACTGGTGGCTCGGGCTTTCCTCGCGGCCAGGCACTCACGGCACCTCTTGCTCACCAGGTAAGCCAGTTCCACGAGGTTGAGCAGGATGCAAATGGCGGCTGTGATGACCATGAAGAGAGTGAAGATGTTCTTCTCCGAGGGCTTGGAGATGAAGCAGTCCACGGTATTGGGACACGGATCTGCGTGGCACTTGACCACAGGAGGGAGGGTGTATTTGGGGTAGAGTGAGTGGAATACATAGAGGAAGGTGGCGTCCACACCAGCCTTGAACACCAGGCTGCAGACGTATGTCCACCAGAGCCCACCCTGCTTCTTGCCCGGGTTCAGGTAGAGGTGCCCGCCATTCTCCCCCACCATCTCTCGGTACTTCTTCTCCCGTGCCTCGCGGTAGGCCACGTGCATGACCACGAGCAGCGAGGGGCACGTGACCAGGATGAGCTGCAGGGCCCAGAGGCGCACGTGGGACACGGGGAAGAACTCATCGAAGCAGACATTGGAGCAGCCCGGCTGGCGGGTGTTGCAGTCAAAGTCCTTGTGGTCGTCACTCCACACACGCTCAGCTGTCACCACGTACACCAGCACGCGGAAGATGAAGACCAGAGACAGCCAGATGCGCCCAAAGGCTGTGGAGTACTTGTTGACCCCGCTTAGGAGCCCCTCGAAGATCCCCCAGTTCATGGTGGCCCCAGGTGTCGGCTATTACTGCAGGGGAATGATAATCATGATTGCCCACATGAACAGAATATTCACTCAGAGCCCTTCTTAGAAACATGTCATCGTATCTAATTCTCCCAGCCACAGGGGAGCTAGGTTCTATCATTGTCTCTATTTTACAGTTGGAGGAAACTGAAGTTTAGAGGGGTCATACAAGGTTACACAACTGTGAGGTGCGGAGCTGGGATTTGAGCACAAGTAATTAAGTCCAGAACCTGACTCTTACCCATAAAAGTGGGTGAGGCAGGTCCAGGAAGCCACTCATTCCTCCCTGGGCCTGCGGCGCTGGTCCTGCAGTCCTGCAGAGTGAAGGCTTAAGTCGGGAAACATTTTGTTTTCTCCCTCTGTTCCAACCCCGGCCCCCTCCTCAGGGGGTTGGGCCTTGGGAGGACTTCTCTTTTTTCTGTGCACCACTTTCTCCCCTTAGACCCGTCCAAGGGGAACCCACTCTTTGCCTTTTACTTGGCTTGGAGGATGAGGTTGGAGACAAGGCTGGAACCCTGTCCCCAAACTCCCACCTGGTCTAATCAGTAAATATCCAAGCCGTGTCCTGCTCAGGTGAGAGTCACTTGAAGCAAGGCTAATGGCAATCCAGCTGAAAGAGAACACAGCGGGCAGATGGTTCTCTTTACCTAAGAGGCTTCCTAGGGTAGCGTGGTATTGCAGTGTTTCCCAAACTAGTGTTTCATGGAACCCTGTCCCATAGTCTGACCGTAGGAGAAGTGAGAGAAAAGGAATCTGTGTTCAAGAAAGGTAGGCAAACATTGCATTTGGCAAAGTTAAATAGGTTCCTTTACTTGATCATGCTAATACGTTCTCATTGTGATCCCCAAGAGGAGGACAGAATATGTAACGTTGCCCAAACTCCCTGGATCACAGAACCCTTTCTCACCATCTTGTGGAACATCCTTATTAAAACATCAGAATGGGAAATGCTGCTCTCGTCACTTCTGCTGGTGAGTTTGACGTGCTAAACACAGGAATCAGCTTTACCTGCATTTAAGGAATGCGGCTGCTGTAATTTCTCTCTTGTAATTCCTATGGCTGGTTCTCAGGACCACGTAGTGGTCCCGCCTTACTGGCCTCCCAGGATCTCAGAAGCCTCTTGCTCTAAGGGGCTCCTGATGCCCTTCTGAGTGCTGGTCTAGGCTGAAGGTCACCATGCTGTCCTGACCCCCTGCAGGACCTGCAGCAGTCGAGCAGGGTAGTGATAAGAGCCAATATTTATTGGGTGTTTACACAGCACCAGGCACTGTTCTGAGCACTTTGCATGAACCAAGGCAGCAACTGCATGAAGAGGTATGATATTTTTTATTCCCAATTTACAGATGAGGAAAGTGGAGCACAGAGGTTAATTAAGTTGCTCACAGTTACACAGCTGGTGCTGGGCTTGAACTCGAGGGAAGGCTGACTCAGGAGCCCACACTCGGCCTGGGCCCCTTTCCTTCAGTCACCGGAAGCTGCCTGAGCAGTCTTGTCCGTGCCTACTCCCTCCTCTACCAGGTGGATCCCGGCTGAAGGAGGTTAGGGGTGGTTCTGCTCCCCACCCTGCCTCTCCACTGTTTTGTCTATGCCACTTATCACTTGGACGTGGGGCTCCAGCTCTGAATAATCAGCTAGTCTTTGCTCGGTCCTGTCTAAGGTGGGTGGAACTTCTGGCAGGTTCTCAGGAAATAACTAGGGAGGGGCCCGTCTTAGTCCCCGGGGGCCTTGGCCCAGCCCACTTAGGGTGGGGCGGGGTGTGGTTGTACAGGCCCAGGCAGAGCTGCTCCGCCTGCTCAGCTCTGGGTTCCCCTGTGAGCCCCTTTCGGCTCAGGCCCTGACTCCCGCCTCTGTTCAGCTGGGGAAAGCAGGTAGAGTCCCCAGGAGGGAGGAGCCCTTTATCCTTCCGCCACCAGGACCCAGCGTAGCGGATGTATCCAGGTCACCTCCCTCGACTCTCCACCAGAGAAGTTTCCCTCTGCCAGGTGTGCCGAGGGACACAGTACATTTGGACACAGATGACCTTACCTGAGTGGCTACTCCTCAGGGCTCTCTGGGCACTGGCTCCTGGCAGCTGGCAGTCGATTTAGCAGGTGGCTGGAACTCATGTCAGAACGAGAGAAGGTGTTTGGGAAGCCCGTTCCTGGGACAGAGCCTGCAAGTCAGCAGACAGCCTGGGTGTGTCGCTGGCCTAGAAGGAGGCGGAGCCGCACCTAGCACTGCCATTGGCTGGGCCCCAGCCCCTCATCAGCGCTGCCTCTGATGAGCCCCAGGAAACTTTGTGTTCACTCCTTCCAGGGTGCTGAGCCCAGAATCCTAGCATCCTCTCGGGGGAGACCCACAGGTCCACTCTGATCCCCTGCTTGTCCTCCCATCCCTGGCTTTGTGTGGGAGGAACCCGGAAATTCCCCGAATTCTGGAAACTCTTCACTGCTAGCTCTTGGGAGTCTGCTCTCCAGACTCTCCTCCCGCTGGTTGCTCCTCGGTGGCCTCCGTTCTCACAGTGTCAGTTACTTTCAGAAATGCTGTGACTCCCAAACTCTGTCTCCGGCCTGAATGCTTTTGCTCCATCAATTGCCCCCACCTGGGTGCCCTTCTCTCACCTTTCTCTTCACCTGGTCTTCTCCTCCTAGAAGCCTTCCCTGACTATGCTCCTCCAGGTGGCCTGGGCCCCATCTCTGAGCTTCCATGGCCCCGAGCTGCCACATCGTCATCAGGCAGTATTGGAATCGCTGGTCTTAATTTCCAATCCACACCCACAGACTTTTTAGGGGTTTGTTGTGAGCAGAAAGCAGCCCAGCCCCTGACCCCCAGCAGCTCACCACTTGGTCTTGATTACCAGCTGCACAGCCTCTCATGACCGCAGAGAGGTCATTGGAACCGCCTCCCCGTTCCCTGCCATCCTGTTGCTGCCAGAATCTAGTTCAGTCTTTGCACCCCAACTCTGAATATATGGGGGGTTGCACAGAGAGCCACCCTGGCTCCTGCATACACAGCCTCGCTCTGCCCCAAAACACACACACCAAGCCCCTCCCCAAGCCCTGCATGGATGGCTGCCCTTCCCCCATGGGGCTACTCCCTACTTCCAACACCACACACATTGGCCTTTCCACTAACCCTTGTTTTAAATTTAAGAATCATCTCTGAGACACTGCTGTGTGCCAGGTGCTAGGCTACACAGATAAAGAGAGGACCAGAAGAGGCTGGGCAGGGTCTCCCAGCAGAGGACAGGCACACAGGTGAGGGGCCCAGAGACACTGATATAAGAAGGGTGAGCGCCAGCAGGAAGAGGCTGGACTGCACAAGTCCTGTCCAGAGAAGGTGCCTCCCCGTTTGATGGTGGTGGTGGTGGTGGTGATGGTGGTGGTGGGGTATTTCAGGGAACTGCTTTAATGTAGGGGACCTCTGCATCTGGGCCCCACACCCCTGTATCTGGAGTCTCATACCCCTGGATTTGAATCCCATCTCTGCTGCATTTAGACCTGGGCAATCTACCAGTTTCTGTTCTGTACCATCAGACATGTCATGCATGTGAGGGGTGTCCTGAGAAGACCCTGAGCGTCATGCAGTGCAGTGAGTGAGCACAGGCTGTGTAGCCTGAATCCCAGCTCTGTCTCTTCCTCACCTTCCAGGCTCAGTTTCTTATCTGGACAGTGGGCCAATAACATTGCCTACCTCACTGGGTTGATGTGCCGGTCACCCAAGCCGACAGAGGTACAGTGTTAGAACAGGGCCTGGCACAAAGGAAGCTCTTTCTATGACTACCTCTGACATATGTGAACTGCCCGAGGATGCCTGGCACTTGGTGGGTTCTCACAAAAAAAGACTTCCGGGCCGGCCGAGTGGCGCGATGGTTAAGAACTGGCTTGGGATGCCAGAGGGCCTCGGTTCGGATCCCACATACGAGGGCCAGCGACACTGCCCTCTACAGCTAAGATGCTGAACAACAGCTCAACCTGGAGCTGGGCTGCCGTGAGTCGCTGGTGATGGCGTAGGCTGCAGCCCCTGTGGCAGTGGGTTGCCATGGGCTACCGTGTGTAGCCAGCAGCCAGCGTGA